GTCAATAATTTATATAATAATAGTGTGCCTCATACTCACTCTGTTCCGGTGATGATGTAGCCAAAGTGTCTGTCCTTCCCTCTGCTGGAGAACTCTTTCACCCCCACGTGGACCAGCTGAGTTTTGACTTTCATGTCCTTCTTCTCTGGCTCCTCCAGCTGCTTCTTCCCCGCCGGGGCCTGAATCCCCTGCATCAACCTCTCGATCTCTGAGTCCACGTGTGCGTCTGGGCCCTCCGCACCACCGGTTAACCGCAGCGTGGTGCCCTCTTTTGCAGGCGTAACTACTGTCTTCTCCACCCAGCGGTGGGGTACAGGAACTTGGCCCTGGGTTGTCCGGCTCTGGACGCTCTCCAGTCCGACCATTTTCTGGAGGGGGGCTGGTGGGCCGACGCTGACCTCCGGAGCATCACCGAAGGGCTCCAGGTTGAGGTAGTCCAGCAGCTTGGAGAAGAAGGCTGCATGCTGTTTCAAATCAAAGACTTCACTTTAGAATACAATTTAAAACTTTGCTTTAGAGATTTTTCAAAATTCTGAGGGAATAATAACTTGAATAGCGACTTGAGATCTATTAGAAATGTCAATAACTAAAATAGTTCAATTTGTGTAGTAGTGTAAAATAGTACATTTCTTAAAGGTTTTGCTTTCTTCCTAAAAGTTAAACACATGATGTCACACAAAACTATTTTAATTATTGTCATGTTTTAAGTTCCAGACATATTCTGAGAACCAGCAGTTGTGAGTTTTTCTCTTTCAATTTAAAAGCAAACGCTGGTCTGCACAACTTTGATATCACACTTTTTTGAAGCAGCATTCAAAAGTGAATAAAGTGTAAGTTTGTGTGTCTCCCTCCCTGAGAAACCAATTTGTTGGTTGAGCAGAGTAATTTTAAATTCACCTTGTCAACGGGCTCTTTGTCGGCACCGTCTATTTGTTGGCCTGGAAACAAACACAATGTGAGCAGATTGTGTGAAAACTGAAGCACTCTTTTGTATTTAGCAAAGAAAAAAAAAACAGTTATGACTCAAAATGAAAGACTCAGAAATAAATTTGGCAGCCTTGTATATGGAGATTATATAAACAAAGCATTATTTAGACATTTATAAATGACAATGTTGCAAAGTCTTATATCTACGAGAAGATAAAAAACATAGCTACTCTCATTGTTCATTTTTTACACACCCACCTTGTTGTTTCATTGTCTGTGTGTCTTTCTGGTTTGGTTCCTGCCCTTTGTCTGATTTCAGGTCCTGGTCTTGATTCAGTTGCATATCTGCTGCCGGCTCCATGTTGACTTCCATGTCCCCCCTGGAGACAGCAACTCCTTCCCCTGGCCGCGCCCCAACGGCGGGCTGCTGCTCGTCCACCTCCTGCAGAGCTCCTGTGATGACTTCAGCCAGCTGGTCCAGGTCTTTGCCCATTAAAGCCTCTATGTTGATGCTGTGCCTTCCCAACTGATTCACAACATTCTGGATGAACCGCTCTGGATGGGAAAGAAGTGAAGAATGACCATCCAAAATAAAAACTGCATTTAAATAGAATTTCCCATAATCAAAAACGAATTATTGTGGTGCTTATATAAATGTTATGAACAAGCTTTAATGCTGATCTTACCATCCATGACACTAAGAGGTTCTTTGGCACCCAGTCGGTTTGTACCGGCCTTGAACAGCAGCCTGTCAAGATTAGGCATCTGGCTTTTGGAGCCAAAAGCCTCCTGAGGCTGCAGCTTTGCCTGTTCATTCTGAGCCGGCCGGATGTAACTCAGGTAATGGAGTTTTCCTTTGGGCCAGGAAGCCTCTGCACCCGGGGAGGCCTGCTGAGCAACTGGTGCCTCGGCAAGAAGCCGCTCTAGATGACTGGAGAGCAGCTTGCTCCTTCCCTGGTCTTGGTTGGAGAAGGTTGCACTGAGCTTGGGGTGCCTGCCCTCTCCACTCTGTGTAAAGACTTTGGTGACAGGAGGATGTTCGGCTCCTTTCTGAAGGCTGTAGACAGTGGTTTCCTTCCAGCCCTGCTGGGGTTTTGGCCAGCCGGGCTCCGAAGACCCATCAGACTTGATGTCTTCATTCTTCAACAAAACATGCACATTTAAAACAATGTTAAAATTTCAGGCACTATTTTTTAGCCATGTTTACAACCATGTTTACAGCCATGCTACAGGTAATGACATGAGCTCAAATTAGGGGTATAAAAGATTTGAGCTTGTAAAGTTTGTAGTTTTAGTGATGTGTACCTGTAAAATAAATATAAATGTTTGCACATATGTACAACATATTTGTATTTGTAGAAAAAACTAGAAACTATATATAGTTACACAAAGACACTGCAAAAAATATAAGCGCTTTTATTTCTATCTCTTGACAGCCCCTGCGTGTAAAACTCAGCACTGAAAGTTCCCATGCTCTGTGATGCTGAAGTTTGGTTTTGACACCTAAATGTGATTGGACAGTGATAGACCAATCACAGAGCAGAGACGTATCAGAAGACAGGTGCTTCTGTGACCTTCATCTGCATCACAGGTCCTGAAAGTAGATTTTAAAGTTTGATGATGGTGTGGGCTCATATTGGGACCCAGCTGTGTTTGCATATATACACAGCCCATTAAATGCTGCTAAGCATTAAATATAATTAAACCCATCTGAATTTATTTGTGAACATCAATTTAAAAGCTTAAAATCTTTCTAACTCTCATTTTAGTGAGACATGGAAGAATTATCATGGTGCCACATACAGCAGCAATGACTGGTTAATTATTCAATATCAAAAATAACTTTTACACTTCTTTTATAACCAATTATTCAAATGATTGTTCAAATGAAAATGCCAGCGTGTTCTCGTTTGTAGTTTTACTTTGACTCATGAGATGTCAATATGAACATATTTGGATTTTTGAGGGTTGAACATTATTAAATTAATGATTAATCTAACACTAAACATGTTAGCCCACTGACATTAGCATTTAGTTAGTATAGCTGTGGAGTCTTTGTCTTATTTCATTCATTGCTGCAAAACTGAAGTGACAAAATTCATACGATAAATATTCAACCTTTAGTTTTTCTCTCCTCCTATGAGAACATTAAACGGGTTGTACTGGGTCAGCATTGTTGTGACAGGCTTCGGTATAAAAAGAGAAGCAACCTGGGCTCGACTAGACAGGACAGGATATGAATAGGGATTCTAGATCAAAGACAACTGCCCTTGGAAATTGCATTATGGAAATCAAAGATGAGATAGTGTCACTCAAAGTGTAATTTCATGCATTTCCACAACACACAACAAACTTTAAATGCATATCCACCCCGTCAGAAAAGTAGCAGCAATCCCTTATCTGAGAAGAAAAAAATATATGAGTCATCTGATTTCAAAGTTGGCCATATGAGTTTCTAAGTGACACCGTATTACAACATGATGCACTGGTGCACAGGTGTGTAGAGGCCCTCTAACCATTCAGCACTGCAGTTGGCACTAAAATCTGTGAATTTGTTCCTTCTTCTCTGCGAGGGAGAGAAATCTTCTTGTCTGAATTATAAGAGCCCATGCTTGAATTGAGAATACTATGTATCCGATCCACTGAGCAACACTATTATCCATGTTGCTGCAGCACTAATACTAGCTATCTCCCTTGGTGCCATTTTCTGTCCTTCAAATGTATATAGAGAAAATGTCAGTCTTTCCAAGCATACTGTGAGGCCATAATGGCATTAGCACAGTGAGACGGGGGGTGCGCTGCCATTCAAGCAAACAATCTTTGCCTTTTTCCATCACACTACACAACAAAGGGCCTCATCTCATCAATAAGGAAGGTCCTGAACTCTTCAACTTTGCATTATGGTGGCACTGACACAGCAGCAGGACGCGGCTCGCCTATGAAGGATGCTGAGCACATTTCACACAAAGCCGGGGTTCCAACCTAAATATGAGGACTGAATAATGTAAAGAGGTGATGGAAGATCTTTGTGTAAAAGGGTCCCTGCTCAGCGGGAGACGGGGGGGGGGGGGCAGAAAGCGAGAAACAAAAGCAAAGCAGGGACGTGAGGGCGACCCCGGGAAAAGACTGACTCTTTTTCAACATGAATACGAAGAGGCCCTTCTATAATGTAGCTGAGGAAATGTGCTTTTTATTGTTATGTGTACTTATGTAGTGTAGAACAATATCTATAGCCTTAACCTTGGACCTAAATTCTACTGTATATCACTAACCAAGCAGTTAGACTGTGACATTTAACTGAAGTGAGTTTCTTTAGAAGTTATTCCAGTAACTTCAAATGTTACTTCCTGTCAAAGATAGATTTTAAACGTGGTCTTGCTACACCACCAGTTTGTAAGTCCCAGCTAAGTTCACCCTGACATTATCAACAGGGTCCATCAACCAGGGCCACAGAAGATGATATACAACTGTTCTCACAGACCGAGAAGAGTAAACTGAACTTAATATGAAAAATCCCTGTGCCCCTCAAATGTCAGCAATTGCGACAAGTCTACAGCGAGAAGGCGTCTTACCTGAACTCTGGCTCCCTCTCGTAGTCCGTCCACCTCGGCCTGAGGCAGGAAGCCCAGACCCGTCAGGTAACGCTGAAGGTTTTTGCTCAGCTCCACCTGCGCAGGCCTCAGTTTTCTGTCTCGGGAGCTGCTGAAGGCATTCGGGCGGTCAGAGGGGTTCAGAGGCGTGGCCTGATGGCGGAGGGGGACATTCCTCAGTTTGGAGAGCTCTCTGGAGATAACCTGCTGAGTGATGTCGTCCTGCCATGTCAGACCTGGGAGAAAAGACAAGGTGGCATTCAAACTCTCAGCTTTAAGCTTTAAAAAAATAAAAAAAAAATAAAAAAAATTTAAATAGGGTCCAGGTCAGAAACTACTTCAATGAAGACAAGAAACAGAGCCTGGAGATAAGTGAGGATCATTTGAATAATATATGAGAAAGTCAGAATATGAATACCAGCTCAAGGTCCTGGAAAATAATAATACAATACTTTTTTACTCTAAAATTGAAATGTATATAAAGGAGTTCTGCTGAAGGCAGTGAGGTTAAAAATGGGTGACCTTTTTTTTTCATTTTCTGGACTTATTTTTTTTTCTCATTTTGGAAAGAGATTGTAAAAGGGAAAATATATGGAGTAGAGCTTGATTGCTCCGAGTTGAATGTTTTCATATATCCAAAGATATAAAGCTTCAGCCTGAGAATGTTTTTCTGACATGTATTAATTGATTTATGTGATGATTATTTCTCTGTTTGATTGATGAAAACAAATCACTAGTAGAAACAGAGAAGGATAAATTGACTTTTACTTAAAGCTATGATATCGACATAAAATTCTGGGAGGGAAAATACAATATAGTTGATATCTGACCATAAAATGAAAACACATATCTCTGAAAGATCCTGCTCCTGCTCAGCTATTTGGTCGTCTATGTCAATAAATGAATATCACTCCAAAATATCATTAAAAGTAGTGGAAGGGTTGAAAACTTTTAGGTAAGTTTTGATTCATTGTTTTTACTGTTGCATTATGGGTTGAACGAAATGTACAAATCAGCTAAGGTGAATCGTAATGGCAGAGGAGGAGGGCTTCGATTGCAGCACACAAACTGGGAAGCCATGAGCACACATATATGGACACATGTATACAAAGACACACACACGGCACATCCAGTCAACACACCAGGGAGAATGTCACACTGCAGCCGGACGCCTTGCCAACATTTCTGCTAATTGCCAACACATAGTTGGGATGCAGAACTCCTGGGCAGGGGCAAAGCTTGGCGATGCCAGGACCAGATGGAGCTACCCGAGCAAAAAAAAAAAAAAAAAATACCCAAAGCATGGCCCCATTCCCAGTGAGCCAAGAGGCACAGCATTCCACCGGCAAAGAGCAGAGAAATACCTCAGATATTATACTTCTTTTAAGGAGCCAAGATGTTCACTGATGACACTTCCATTCCACAGAGACATTTTTTCAGTGCTTGAACAGAATGAAAGTAATTATGCTGTGGCGCACACTCTGATTCGGAGTTGCCACATTCCTCACTTTTAGCCAAACTCATCATGAAACAATGCTGCTCTTAATGATGTGGACATATTTAATAAAAATAAACTACTAGCCTGAGTAAGAATACATGCAGGAATGAGAGCACCAACACTGCAGAATGTCTTCATTAGCCTGGTTTGTCACCCATAGACACCGGGTATTCTCATAGATATTCATAAGCACCAGATGAGGATCTGAGCAATGCAGAGCAGCTACAGATGCCTCCAGTCATTCTTGGCAGCGCTGAATGGAGCACAAAGCAGCGTATGTTGTCAGTGTTCTGGAACGCAGCTCGGCCATCCATCCGTACAACAATGACAGTTAACTACCCGTGGCTTACCCGATGTGCTGTATATTTGCTATATATTAATGCGTTGATGATCATTTACGCCATCATCAGTCATGATGGGGAAAGCGGGTCTGGCCTGGGCCCTGAAGGATCCATATGTTACCTGTGTTTAACTGCAGCCGGTTAAATGGGTTCAGAGTCAACATGCGATGGTGCCACAACAGCTTCATTGAGTGTGACACCTCTATCCCCGGTCTCTCCTGGGGAATACACTCATTTCCATACATACCATGTTTTGAGAGTCTGCGATGGGCTCACTTGAGGGAAGAAGGCACACCAGCACAAATTACAGAATCAAAATGAGCAGTTTGTGAAAGGAAAAGTCAGGAGGAAAAGTGGTGGGGCCTTTACAGTTGGATTCCTCTCAATCAACCCCTCAGCTGATTATCCTGGCACTGAGGAGCTAAATGTCATGCAAATTCATTGGTAGGTCCAGAGAAAGAGCAGGTTCCATCGCTAAGTGCCAGTTTTTGCTTGTTAAGGATGGTGCGCTGTCTGCGGCACATGGCTCGGTTAATTAACGCCTTGCCATTAACGCAACAGCTTTCAAACAAGCAAGATATTTCTGTTGGCTTCGTGTCTATTTTCCGAGCTCCAGAGAGAGAGAGAAGGGCCCTCCTAAATATTCCAAGCCTATTAGATGGGATCCTGTCGACATGTCTTGTTGTTTCATCTGCTGTTTTTGAAATGCAGATTTTCCCCTTTTCCTTTACTTCTGTCCACCGACTGATTTTAACGGCATTAATGGAAGAGGGCGTGAATAATTTAGTAGCAAGTTCTGTCTAATTAGTCCAAATTAAACGTGTCAATCCAAATATGAGATGTGAATTAAATCCACAGTGCAATGGTGTGGCACCCCCCAAAAGAGTGTGTGTATTTTTTAAATGTCATTTCATATTCTTTCAGCAGTTTGAGGTAAATAATTGGAGCAAAAGGAAAAACAAATTCTTCTTTACTTTACCCTGCCTTAACCCTGACTCCTCCATGTTAGCTGATGGGACATGGACCACATTAAAAGTCAAAGTACAGCTGAGATTGACACAATTGGCCGAGCCTGTGTATCTACAGGACCTCGCCATCGCGGCTCCATCCCCCAATCACAGCTACGTCTCTGGCTCCAAATGATGTCTTAGTCGCAAGATGGCAGCGTTTGTATCTGGAGTATTTTGGCTTCACTTCTGGTCAGCAGGATCCATCTTTATATACAGCTGATGATCGAAACCAAAACACTCCTTGTTCTCTACACCCGCAACATATTTAACATTTTTGGAGTTCTGCTTTAAACTCAACTTAAGTTATGTGGGTTTAAAAAGTGCAGCTTCACAGTGTGAGTTTGTAATGGCTGACCCCACCCAGCAGGTCAGTAAGGTTTAAGAGGATGCTATCGTATTCTTTGTTGAGTGCCGTGAAGTTCCTCTCAGGACCTGCAGTCAGCGTCTGCCATGACTGCAAACCAACTGACTCACGTTTTCACTTGGCTTGTTAAAAGAGTCAGTGTATCTATTCTTTCCAGAACCATCTAGCAAGGTTGTCAAGGAACAGACAGGGCAGAATATGAGGAGGAACAATATTAGTTTGTGTTGCTTGTCCGTCAAAGAAAGTCAGTTTGTGCAGGAGGCGAAACACGACCGTGAGTAACGTAGTTTCAGTAGCACTGGAGTGACATGATGTCAGTTCATGGTCACTGACTCTCCTCCCTGACTGACGAATCCTGTCAATGGAGCTAATGCAAATGTCACGATGCATCATCATCGTACTTGACTTGTCTGTACTACGAGAGCATCTGCAGCTCTGCACAAGGTCAGGAGGTCAATGGACTGCAGGTTACTGTAGTTTAACGTGGTGGATCAGCAGCGCTATTGTTGCAGTTTGACGTGATTCTTTCTGATCTCATGAGCTCGAAAGCGTAAATATGACATGAACCAGTTTTTCTTGGGGGAAAAAAACTCAGTTCTTGTTTCTTGCTACACCTGTCAAGCTTTGTGTTAACACAAAACTCATTTACTGTGACTGAGGAAGCACACTTGAAATCTGGAGTATAATGTGAGGTTTAACACAAATAAATTAGAAACTCATAATAAGATATATATACATATAAGAATAAGTTGTGTCACTTTAGTTTTTAAAACGGAAATAACATTTGGTTTTAATAATCATCAGTTATAAGTTATTGTTTGTTGAGCCAAGGCTTCAGGACTGAGTGTTGTTTTGGTGTCAATCAATCAAATCTGGAGGAGAGGAGAGTAATTATTCATATTGAAATCTTCAAGGTTTGCTTACTTTATGGATTTATTTAGTTTTTGACATATTTGTGTTATTTCCCTCTGTACTAAGAGAACCAGAATGAACTTTATGTTATGACTCCTTTCTTTAAAAATACTCTGGTCAGGGATCATAACGATTCCTATGAACCCAATGGCCCATTGGACGTTGACTTGCCGGTGTAGCTCAGCTCCTTTGTCCCTTTACTCTTTTCTACCATCTTAAGCATTTCAGAAATAATAAAACTAAAAAGTAGTCTCACTTTTACAATAGAAAAAGACTGTGTGTAAACCTGAAGAGCTGGACAAGAACCACTTGTTACTTGATATTGTAGCATCTGGATTCCCACATGGTTAATATACTTAACAGTTAATATTGTGATTAGCTAATTTAATAACATGCACCCTGGCATTGAAGCTATTTCCAAGGTAGAGAGATAGTCAGGAATGCTAATATTTGCAGTTTACATTTGAGCAGATACATTTAAGCTAAGCACAGTTAAGCTCCTCCTTCACAGTTTTACAGATGTGCTCTCGTTTTTTATCTAAAAAACACACACACCACCCTCCAGCCTCTTAAAATGCAGCAGAGAGTATTTCTTTCATTTCAGCCCCGTGCACGGTGCTCAAACATGCAGAGAATCCAAAGATTGACAGACTTCATGTGCCTAGTTACAGTTGCTAGGCTATGATTGGACAGTCGCCATTCGGACGAGGGGTTTGAGGGGAGGGTCAATTAAAGGCTCCATTGTTTGAATATATTGTACGTTAAATCAAACCACCGCAGTTAGCTCCTGTGTCTATCTCCGTACGGTTGCAGTCAACGCACACATATTTAGCAGAACCGTACCCTAAGAGTAGACGACACAACAGCTGCACACAGTGAAGACTCTTGTCTTTGGGTGCTGTGTGATATTAAAGTCATTTGCAGCTGGATGACAGTCCCTTGCATTCAGACGGCCCTTGTGGTGAACATGTCATACCAAGACAATGTGCTCTGCCAATGGAGACACTGAACTCTGAAAGCCGCAGCCCTTTTGTACCAGGGTCAATTTCTATTGATCTGAATGACATTGGTGTTGAGCAGTGAGCAGAGATTGTGTGATTTCTACCTGCGTCTCCGATGCAAGATAAAGAGGATTGTAAATCAATCCCATTGATGTTCCTCCCCCATTTTCCCCCTCCCCCTTCATATCTTCAATTTAGGCTACAGTACAATGGTCTCAACAACCCCGTCCGCTCCCCTGCGTTTCAAAGATGACACCTCAATAGCTGCTGAACCGATAAGAATAACGTGGCTGGCGAGCATTAACGGTGCATTGTGGAACCGTCCGGAGATAATGCTCCTGTCCGTCGATGTGATTGTACAAGACAGAAATGATTCAAAGTGATGATGTCATGTCTGCGGCGTCTGTAAACGGTTGTCTAGAAAAAACACAAGGTCAGAGGATGAGAAGCATCGAAAGGATTTAACACCTCTTCAAACGGAGCGGGGACAGAATTACACACTGGATCTCTTCTCATCCCGCTCCCTCTCATTTGTTTATTTCCACACAGTAATTAGAATGAATGTGTGGTCTCGCCCGGCTTAATATTCATCACTGCACATTTTTTCTCCCACTTCTTTTTCTTTTTTTTTGATTTCCTCTGGACGACTGCGTACTCTTAATGATTTTCACCACTGGTTCACGCCTGTTAAAAGATATTAAGCTCAGAGTGGCCTGCAAAGCCAATTGGAGGGCTGATGTTTGTGGTCACGGTATGAGTTACAGGTGTCTACTGCCCCCTGGTGGCTCAGAGCTGCAGTTACATGCTGCTGAATATGGAGAAAATACAGAGGGAAAATAATTTGCTTTGTAAAAACATTTTTACTGATTTGACAATTCCTGAAATTGTTACTGGTGCTAATTACAAAGAAAAATATAGACTCCTCTTTTGTCAACACTTCATTTAGAGTTTACAAGAGATTATTGACTGAGAGGAAAGATTATTGACTGAGAGGATTTTCCCTTGAAAGAACATTTAATCCTAAGTAAATATCCATCCATTATTTATTTTGTCTTGGAAACTGTCTGCAATTTTAGATGTTCTTATGTGCATATGGTTTCAAGGTTACACTAGCAATTAATTAATTAGAAATCTGAACCCTGTATTTGTATTATTCAACTTAATGTATATGAACTATACGAATAAAGTAGTTATGGATGAGAGTGAATAGGTATGTATGGAGGAGGTCTATTTTCATATAGTTTACTTTATCTTGTGTCTTGTTCACGTATAAAAGGGGGAAAGGACAAGAAAAGAGACTTGTTTGTATCTGTAACAAAAAGAGAATAAAAAAAGACAGAAATTATAGGCCCATAAAATAAAAGGTCATCATTTGGGTCATATGTTATATTAACTGTTGTTCTGTTTTTTCATGGGCAGAGGATACTGTTACAAATCTGCCAGAGCCTTTTGGTCAGCAGCAAATGAGTATTATCAGCAGACTGTCTGGAGGCTCCACTCACTTCTGTCTGTTCACTCAGAGCCATCAGCACGAGGAGGCTCTGTTCACCACAGTCAGAACCAGGCATGACATAATCAATGAGATGAGACTCTTACAACCTGTGTTGGCAAAAAGGAAACTCAGCACGGCTCCAGGTAGTGAAACTAGAACCACGATTTTTTAAATTCCTGCTTAAACTTCATTCCTAATGAGTTTAACTGTTACCTCCGATGCAAAGATGTGTTTTTTTAGATGCCTTATCTCCCTAAAGATGCACATTAGCTGCTCTTGATTGAGTAGGAGAGACTGTCTCATGTGATTATACTGCACACCTCACAGTTACTCATCCACAAAATTAGCTCGAAATGTCCTTACAGCATACACAGTGATTAGATTGGCTGCTGGAGTTAGGCGATGATTGCAAAACAATGGCCTGATATAATTCCTGTTCACACTCAGTGGTGGTGTGCCACGCTAGCCAAAGGGACAGCTTGGCTTATTTGGCTTGCTTCACACAATAGCTATTGACAAGCATTTGCTGTATGAGCCCTGTAAGCGACTGATAAAAGCTGTCAAAGAGGAAAGTAGGACACTCAGAGAGAGAGACAGAGAGAGACGGACAGAGACGGACAAGCAAACAGGCAGCATGTACCTCTGTGAGCCAGTTTCTGCAGGAGGATCCTGAGGCGCTGCAGAGCAGAGGGAGAAATATCGTACGTGTACAGGTGTGCACCGGCCAACTCCTGGCACCTTCCAAACACCCCGTCTGCAGGAGAAGAAAAGAGGAGAGTGGTGAAAACATACTCACCAGGGATGTGCTTTTCAAAGCTCAAAGTGAGAGACACATAACGAAACATCCAGCACACTCTTGTGGTTCTGGTGATTAAAACTGAAATGTACCTGCTCAGATAAAATGTAGTTATTGTGTGTGGCACCTGCAATGTCTCTATTCCTCGAGCTTCCTGTTTTGCAGGAGCTTCTAGCTGACATTTTTCATCTGACAGCGCCAGGATAAGTAGCCATTTATGGCAGGAAGGACTTTATCAGGGACCCTGGTAATCTCCCTATCAGCAGGCCTCCCGCCTCACTCAGTGCAGGTTGCTAAGCAACCCACGCCACATAGTCCCTATCAGCCCCATAATTCAATGGCTGGTCTAGACCTCTGAGGGATGGCGAGGCTCAGGGGGTCAGAGAGAAGCGTGTGGATGTAATGGCTGGAATATAAATGACCTGCACTGTCACCTTCTCTCAGCTGGAGAGACATATCCAAGCATCTTATTGGCTAAACACAAAACATGAAAAGCCACCTCAGAGATGACCTCTAGGGATGAAGCTTGCAGATCTGATCAGAGTATATTTTTGTGTATAAGTGTGTCTTTCATCGCACTGTGTGAGCGTATGTGTGAGAATTCCACTGTGATTACATGGGATCTAATGGTGTGAATCAACACTTGGTCATGCACCACACTTGCATCGCATTAATTAGCCCCAAAATGTTGACAGCAAACGTCTACGGTACGATCGATGCCCGCCGACATGTCGGACAATGCAGAGTAGACACTGCCGTCCACACACCCTGCTATTTTCAGGTTTCTACTTCATGTGCATTTATGTGTTTTGACAGAGAGGAGCTTGTAAAGATTCAACTTTCTAGAAAGGTAAAAAAGAGAAATATTCCCTTTTTTAATTTCATCTATTTAAACATCACTGAGAATCATTTTTCATCTTCAAGAATATAATTACAGTGCCAATGTTGGATGTAAAACTCAGCGACTGATAATTACAATGATAATAACGTGATGTCAGACAGTGGCTTCAAATGGAATTTTTATTCTAAATGAGAAGTGGGTGTTTTGCTGACTCCCCCCTCCCCCCTCCCCCCTCCCCCCCTTAGCCTGCGACCTGTTAAATGACATCTCTGTACAGGAAGAGAGCCCATGGGAGGCGGCGAAATTAGCATTGAAAACACAGTACAACGCTGTGGAGTTATTTTGAGATCTCAAGCAGTGCAGAGAAAACCTTCACACCCACAGACGCCCATGTCTGCATCACAAGACGTCAACTGTCTCGTCGCTCATCTTTTTCTAATGAAGCATCGGAACAGGTGACTTGGTTTAATACCATGACAAAATAAGGGACATCTGCTATCATTTATTTTTCCCTCTCAGACGCTAACACACATTATGTAAGAAAACAAACGGAGGCTGGTGACATAACAAGATGAGGGAAACTGTTAAATGTCTGATGTGCTGCATCCCTCATTGGTTTCCATGGCAATTCCCCGCCATTAAACGTCCTCCTCCGTCGTCAGGGACATTCCCGATAGCAACCAGACACGCAGGGATTTGAAGTGTTTAAAAATAGAAATCAGAGGTATTTCACAACAAAGAAATCCTTGTTTGGCAAACGCAACAGAAGACAGATTTATCAAAGTGTCACTGAACCGTTCAGAGCCACTTGAATCATGAACCACGAAGCAGTGTTCTGTCGATTTATAGTGTTTTCACAATACTGAGATCATAAAAACAAGCAGAAATGCAGTTTGTATCCAACACTACTTTTGACAGGTGAAAACTACATTTTAATTTCAGGCTTGGACGAGCGCAGCATTTGTCGGATGAGTGGAGAGTTGTCCAAATCTGAAATAACAGAAATGAAGTGCAATCAAATATCTGAGAGTCAGCATTAGTGCAAGAGGACGACGTCTGACACCTCAAGGCTGTTTGAGAATGAAGTAAATCGAGCAGAGCGGCAGGTTTAAGGAAATATTAGGATGACTGACAGGAGATCCGGTCGTGCACGACAAGACAAACGTTGTCACTGTGCTGAACAAAAGGCGACTGCAATACAAATGAACCTCGATCAATACGATCCATAAAAAAAAAGGCCACAGAAACAGTCGATTATTAAAACCCCACAAATCAGTGACATTCTCTCTGAAGAGCAGCTACGCCTGGATAAGAAGCATGTTGACAGAAATAAAGAAGATTGTCAGCCAAAAAAAGAAAAGAGCTCTAAACCCAGACGCCGTCTCCTCTCCTGCTGTGACAGACAGGGCGACACCCGGCTGCCGCTAAAGCTATTTAAACTGTGAAAGCTAATGCTGTCGGATAACAGGAGCAAACACTAAAAGCTGACACTCTGCAAGGCACCTCTAAAAAGACTCTGCGTCAGGAGAGGAGAAGAGAACGGACCCTGGAGGCAAATTAAGATGGATTGGAACAGGTGTAATAACCGTGCGACTCACTTCAGGAAAATGAATAGAGCCCAAATCAGTGCAGAGAGTGCGGCCAGATGCAGTCTGCTAATACAGAAAGGAGCAGGAACACAAACTAAATTGATCAGGATGTGTTTAATGAAGTGTTTACAAATTACTCAGGGATGTTTCTTTTTGGTTTAAGACTATTTCTGCTTTGAAATGATAATTACCTTCATGGATGCGCTGGAATCTACGTGTAAGTACAGAAATTAATAAAGATAAACCAGACTCGGTGATATATCAAACATATTGATTTTTATTTTTAGCAACAAATCTGTTTACGTCTCCCATTAGATCTCCACATATTTGTCTCTGAAGAGCTTATGCCCTTTGCTAAACCGTGTTTATCCTTAACACTTACGACTACATACAGAGACGGCCCTTTCTATGAATCCAATAAGCAGCTGCTCAGGGGCCCCGCAACCACCAGGGGCCCCCAAATTCATACAAGTACAACAAGCCTTGAAAATTAACATGGATTCAAACTGATCTTATGCATATTTTTAAATAATGATTAAGACAATGCTTTAAGCTATCAGATTTAAGTGTTTTAAAAAGCTGGACTATTCACTTGAAACTTATCCTGCTCAGGGCCCCAGATGCACAGCACAGGCCCTGACTTCAAATTCAATTTTGCACCAACAGCCTCTGTGCTCTCCCCATGCAAAATGTTTAGCATTATAGATTTTACAGTGGCTACTTAGAGTGCTGCAGTTGCACTTATTGTGAGCTGTGATCAATAGAAGCGTCGCCTAAATCATTTAAATCTAAAATACAGTGCGGACGTTTCGGGCGCTATTGGCTCAAGTGGAGGCAAGATAACCGCTGATCGATAAAACACCACTGGTTAAGTGTTTAATAGGAGCCAACCAGTGCCCTCAGGGAAACATGTCGCACTTATCTGCTGTATTTTAGCGGTGCGCATCGTAACAGGAAGCCACAGACTCTGGAGAGTTGCATCAAATTAAAATGCATTTCCAGTCCCAGGTTAATCAAATACGTTTCCTTTCAGAGCAACCACGGGGAAGTATCTCCCTGAAGATGGAAATACAGATTTGAAGAGGTCGGTTACAAAATGAGCAATGACAGCAGAGGATCAAATGATATATGGAGGATGGTAATTGACCTATTTAATCAATGACACAACGACATCTAGAGTCAAAGTACAACATACTGAGGGAGTGCCTTCCAAAAATAGATTCTAATCAGCTGCGGCTTTTACCCTGTAAAAAGTTTGTATCCCCTTGAATGCTTTTATTGTTTTATTGTCTCACACTCAGAGTTGATTTCACCCAGGTGACTGGAGTCGCTCCACTCTCAGAGTCATTATATGTCTCTGGACAGCCTCCATCACGAGACTCCTCCATGCAGTTACATGAAAACTGGCTCCAGGCAGATTTAAAGCTTTAAATAATTTCTTAATGATTTGTTTAACTGCACATAAAGTGAGGGCAGCAATGTTTTTTTCATTTTTAATTGTTTTTCTTTTCCAATTACCTTCTGAAAAGGTTGCTTGTGGTGTTTTTTTGTCTTTGCAGAGTAGATTTTGTCATGATCGTGAGTCCTAGCTCAGGATGCTAATATATGTATATAGTTTGCATCTTTATCTTGCTCTTAATTAGTTTTTTTGTAAATACAAAAACGAGAGCATTTGCATATATTCATTGTGTTGTTTGAGTACATGTATGTGTTTCTACAGCATCCAAGCTATATGAGCGTTACACTACAGTGCATTTTAATATTCAACCTACATTTTGTTGATTGTGTTTTACTGCCAACACTGCTTATGTCCCATGTCTATGGCTGGATTATTAACTGGTGGGATTTTTAACATGCAGCTCTAGACTCTATAGTGTTTTAACTTTAAAAGCATCAAAAGGTAATTTAGAACTGAGTGAAATTGTGTGCTGCACAGCGGCAGAGGCTAAAAGTGAATCAGACGCAGCAGTGATGATTATTAGGTGCATATTATACATTTGGAATTGATTTAGATGACTTTATGGAGATATCTGGTTTCACTTTGACATTAAGCCAGGGGGGGGTTAATGCACCACACAGAGAGCGGCTCCTTCACACAAGCCCCTTTCCCTTCCCCTCAGCCACTTTGCATGGCAACAGCATGGGTGAAGAAGAGTACGGTTGGCCCAGCCCAGAATAAACCAGGTTACACCTTCAGGGACCGCGGGAAGAGTTGAAGTGGCAGACCTAGTTATTCCCACTCATCCCCTGTGTGGCTGCTGCTGCTCGCCATGAGTCCGACTGAGAGTGACAGCCTGGAGATTGAGTAGACTTTGAACAATTTGCATATTAGGTACAAAATTATACCTCTATAAATGTGCCTTTAGTGAGCGAGATGTCTGTAATTAGATTTTAAGAGGGATAAAATGGGTGTTTTTCTTTCGACGGTAGTAAAAATGAAAGGAGAATTGATGTAAAATGTCAAAAGAAGTGGCCATTCACATCACATCCCTGCACAATAGTTTCATAATGAAACATAATACAAACCCTCCGCCACAACCCTCCTTTTTGCCTCCGGGTATTTTTCTGTGGAGCTGTCAGCAGTTGCTTTCTACGCACGGCTCCCCTCTGTACTGATGCAGTCTGTGTAATTAAAGTGGGGGTTTATTATATATTTATCTTCAGTGCTGCACTTTCCTTCCCTGTTTTCTGCAAAATTGGGTTAAAGTGGAAGGGTGGAGATCACTAAACATGCAAACATGCATCTGAACATATAAATCTTAAAACTCCCACCAACACCTCATAATTAGA